TTTTATACATCAAGCATACATTTGCATACTTAATCATATTTTCCCAACTTAACAAATTATATTTTTTCAGTATTAGACAATGATGATAATGTACCGATTTCTTATCGAACACTTTAAGTGTATGTTTGTATAAGGACTCTAATGGTTTTAGAGTCACTGAACTCACCTGAGACCAGGTGGTTAAACAGTAAGTCATGGGAGAAATAACCATAGAATACATATACATCTTAGCTGCCTCTAATGATATATAATCGCTAATAAACTTACAATTATAGAGATTAAACTTAACTTGCTTACAAACCTTTTTAACTTGAGCTTTAAATGTAAGTTTAGAATCAATCAGTGTTCCCAGATATTTATATTGAGGCACTACCTGCAGCCTCACCCCTGACATAATAATACTGTTAGATTAGAGAAAAACATGCATACTGTTTTAGACACATTTAGTTGTAAGCAGTTCTCTTTTAGCCATGCTGACACATTAACCATAGAATTTGTGAGTTAATTTGCAACTTGTGTCAGACTATTACCATGTATATAAATTACTGTATCGTCCGCATACATTTGTATATTAATGCCAGGACATGCAAGATGAAAATCATTTCTATATATATATAGCAAAAAGCAGTGGACCCAAGATAGATCCTTGTGGAACACCAGTTGATGTATTTAAATCATTGGATTGGTGATTTTGTATTCTAACACACTGAAATCTATCTGATAGATATGACTCTATCCAGTTAAGTGTATGTAATGAGAAATTAAAACAAGATAGCTTAGACATAAGGATTCTATGATTAACGGTGTCAAAGGCTTTCTTTAAATCAAGGAACACGGCTCCAACTACACCACCTTTATCTAAGAAAGTTTTAATATACAAATTGATTAAAAGTGAAACTAATTATACTTAAATGTTTCCATTTCTCTTAAATTATGTTCTTTCTATTCATCGCAAAATCCTGAAAATATGCATCACAATTTATTTAAAATAGGAGTCAGTACAACTGTGTTCAACATTGGTAATATTCAAAAATGTTTCTTGAGCAGCATATCAGCATATTAGAATGATTTCTGAAGGATCATGTGACACTGAAGACTGGAGTAATGATGCTGAAAATTCAGCTTTAAATTACAGGAATAAATTACATTTTAAAATATATTCAAATAGAAAATAGTTATTTTAAATTGCAATAGTATTTCACAATTTTAATGTTTTTACTGTATTTTTGATCAAAATAAATTGGTAAGCAGATCAGACTTTTTTTTAAGCGTATATTTGCACAAATATTTGAACAGTAGTGTATAAACTACAGTGATGGTTGCATTTTATGTGTAGTATGCATTTGAAAGATATATATCTTTAACATTCTGCTGCATCTTTCTTCTCTCTTCCTGTGCAGCGGCGATGTTGGCCAATAAGCAGAACTGTTTCACTGACTTTCAGTGTGCAGCTGAGTATCTGATAAAGGAGGGTTACACCTCCCCCAAAAAAATCACCATCAATGGAGGCTCCAACGGGGGGCTGCTCGTGGGTATGACACACACACACACACACACATACATACATACATACAGGTTTGTGTTCTCCTGGTCCTAAATCCCGACTCTCTCCTGCAGCGGCGTGTGTGAATCAAAGGCCTGATCTGTTCGGCTGTGCTGTGGCTCAGGTCGGCGTCATGGACATGTTAAAGTTTCATAAGTTCACCATCGGACACGCCTGGACCACTGATTTCGGCTGCTCGGAAATCAAAGCGCAATTTGATTGGTTAATCAAGTAAGTTTACTTCTTCTTGCACAGATACATTTAATTTACTACTTTTTTAGGAGCAGCAACCCCAGTGACACTTCTGAGACATAACTGCATTTCAGTTAAAGCAGCACACCACTCTAGACATTCTGTTACTGTGATTTTACTCCATTAACTGTGGTAAACTCATTGTAATGCACAGCGTCAAGTGGCTTATTGACTTTATAGAATATGGTAATATCAATATAGATAAAATATTTAATGCATTTATTAGTATACCTTAATCTTATTTATTTGTTTCCGTTATTTATAATATACACTGTTGTTGTTGTTGTTGACTAAAACTGTTCAGTTGTTTTCAGTAATTAAAATAAAGTTGAAATAAAATTTAAAGTTTAAATGAAAAATGTGGCCTTGGTACCTACCTGAAAGTTGAAGTACTAAAACTAAAATAAAAATAAACTAAAGCTAAATAGGATTCAAAAATAATAAAAATTACAAAAGCACATAAAATTGCAAAAATTCCAACTAAAATTAATGTTAAAGCTAATTTCAAATATTAATAAATACTACAATAATATTTAAATAAAATAACTAAACCTAAAATAACACCGATTATATACCTGTAATCTTTAAATACTGCAGATTCACCAGCTGAATATTTTGCATTTAAATATTTCTTATTTTCAATATAGTATTTTTTATTTTATTTTATTCAGCATTTTATTTTATTGTGCATGCATTTTATCTTATCGCTTGTTAAGTCATAATGATTCAAAAACTGTTTCCGGCTCCAAGCCTCCCTGCCGTTTCAATTGTGAACCTTTTATGATCACTATTTATTAAATTATTTTATAATTTTTAATATACAGTGTATATATAATATTTTAATAATTCAGAAAAGATTAATCATTGTCTGGCCAACTGAGATTTTGGTATGGGGATAAAGACATTAGGATCATGATCTTTCAGTAGTACTACAGCAAAACATAAGTACATAACTAACATAGTAACATATCATAACTGCAAAACGGCTCCTCTGTTCTGAATTTAAAGAGCTGTGAACGTTCTGACCCTGCAGGTATTCTCCTCTTCACAATATCCGTGTTCCAGAAGCTGACGGGGTTCAGTATCCCGCCGTATTGTTGTTAACGGGTGATCATGATGACCGTGTGGTGCCGCTGCACTCGCTAAAATATATGGCCACACTGCAGAGTGTGATCGGTCAGTGGCCCGGCCAGTCAAACCCTCTCTTTATCTACGTGGACACAAAGTCGGGCCACGGCGCAGGAAAGCCCACCAGTAAAGTCATTCAGGAGGTGGCCGACACGTACGCCTTCATCGCGCGCTGCTTGAACCTCAGCTGGATCGAATGAAGCGAAAGTTACGAGGCTCTAAGCTGTTCCTCTACTCCTGCAGGTTTTTCTTCTGACAGTTTGATTTCGTTCTTGCCTGTTTGCTCTCCTGTTCACTGAAATATTCACCTTTTTTGCTCTCTTTCTGTCCCACTTCTCCACGGTTTCATTATTTAATGTTACATGCAAGTAAAACAGTCCAGTGTTGGTTGAAAACTGAATCGCATTAATGACTGATTTCATACCAATTCACCATCTGTCATGGTGTACACTTAGGAAATATTAGAATTACCGAGGTCACGGGGTGAAGTGTCATAACCTCTGTAGCACTTTACTAAAACTGTATTTATTTGACGACGGGAAGACATTAACAGTTTATGGATCACTGTATCACTTTGATGCACAGCACCCATCAAAAATAAGTTTGCAAGTGAATCACATGTTCAGGTCACATTTTGCCCCAAAAACGAAAATACTTTTTTTTTTTTTTTAGGATTTTTATGTATTATTACACTATTTTTAATGGCAGTTAAGCACATTTGAAATAGTCAAGTTATTATGGATTTTGTCTGGACATGCTTCCCATTAATCTCAGAAGTGATTCTGATTACTAAACATGATAATATAATACATTTTTAAATTTAAATCAGCATAAATGATATAAATCCTCTATAATAATGTCATGTAATAAATGAGTTTTTGCATACAGTATTGAGAACTGGAGAGGAAGAATGTACTTAATTGTCATGAAAATAACATCACATATCATTTCTTTTGATTGGAGTTGGAATATAAGAAAGGCATGTTTGTTAACATGAGATTCACCCTTACAGTGTTTGTCAGTGTGTGTGAATGAGCTGTATCTCTCGACAGAAATCTGTTTCTACCTCCACATTTATGCAGATTGTTTTATCTTGGAAGGGAAAAGCAAACAAAATAACCAAGTACAATAAAACACATTTGAACATGAATATGTTTTGTGTGTTCGGTTAGATGTTCAGAACATTTTAGCTCTTTTTTTTTTGTTTACCTGTTCTATTAGATAATTTTACAGAATAATATTAGCATTTCAAATGCTTTTTTAAAAAATACTATAGAGAAATGAGTAGCTTCATCCATCTAACACTGTGTTACAGTTTCAGTGTGAATTGAATCTCTGCAGTGTCTCGCTGTCTTCCTCTGCTGGCTTGTCAAAAATATATATATCAATATATATATCAAAAATAAAGCAGTAGTGTTCAGCAATATCTAATTTCATTAAATAGCTCAGATTGTGTTATACTTTGAAAACAAGCTGTAAAGGGTCATTCTTTAATGTGGTGTAATGATTTTTTTATACTTGGTAGTCTTTCCTAGCAATAATTTTGATAAACCAATTAAACGTATGTAGGCTATACAGAGCCAGCAGAAGCATACGTTAACTAAGCGGCCCACAAGAGTACATGAAATGACAGCTTGCTTTATTTTCATTTTTGTGATATAGTATGTAATTGGACAATGATAGTATGTAATATACAAAAACGCAATATGAAATATTATATTATTATTTTTATTATTATTTCCATAGTAGCGCTTGTATCACAGGTGTATCACTTTTATTTAGTCTTTCCTTTATTTTTCAAAATATCCACAAACTTGTTAACTATACCTATCATAAACAATATGATATAGCCTATATTTAGATGATCAAATATGTGGACATGATGAGTTCGTTTCTCTATAATATAACATTTTACTTAGCTAGTTTTAGATTAAAGTTTTTGTCTTCTGTGTAAAAATAACTTTCCTGGGTATATAATAAATTAAGCTTCTGTTTCATAAAATTGCTATTGATAACAGCTTAACATTGGCCTACCTTTGGGGTTTTTGCTATATTCCAATATCATTATGCCTCAGCAACCTAGTTATAGATTAAGAGTTGTTGTTTTAGATGTACAGATGACTTGCTGCTGTGTTTAATCATTTATGTTGTTAAAATAACATTCTGTTCCATAAATGCATTGTCTGCTGGTTTATTTAGCTACTTTTCAGTACACCACGTTAAGTATGCCACTTAGTAGACTTTGAATGTTAAAGTGCAAATTAACACCTGACACTCTTTTGGGTTTGCTACCGTTTCAATTATGGCGAAATGAATGTTTGGAAATGTAAACTGATATTTCCTACTGACACACTACAGTAAAAAATAGAAATAACTGACTTAAACCCATTTTTTTAGCTGCTGAAAATACTAGTGTTTTAATAATTTTGCCCACCACTGAATACGTTTAGCAGATAGCAGAAGATAGTCTCGTTGTTATATTCTCCTGAGACCCATGGTCTTTGGTCTATGGCTGACATTAATTTAGTGATAAAATTGCACATCCTTATGGAAATATGATAATATCTGATTCATTTTCAAATAGTTTGTCATAAATCAACATCTCAGGAAAATGTTATGGGGTTTCAAATCAAAATTTGACTTCCTGTTATGAAACGGGACATTATTTTATACATGTCCACTGTTGAAGACACCGGGACTAAATGCATGTTTATTATGCATTTTGGGAGACAAACCAATTGAATAGGAAAACAAATATTCTTATGAAACATAAGATAGTATTATGAAAATCTGGCTAATTACTACTCCCATTATTACACTTCTTTTTTTCAACATGCTGTCCCAACAGCATATGCAAATTAGATACAGTGTATAGTTAACATTGCGTTTAATGGGAAAACCAATTTTACACACACATTTCATAAAGCAAAATCATTTTGTTATATCTTCTATCATAATTGAGAATCATCCTTACACAAAGTTTGGTATAGAAAAATCCTAAAACCTAAAAACTGATCCCATTGTTTTTGCCTTCTCGTGTCTATTTATGTCATTTTATTTTTAGAAAAACTTAGGTCCTGGTGTCCTCTACAGAGCACACAGCATAACATATGAATAAAATATAATTGTTCACAAATGTTATTTTTCAATTTTTTCTTATGCTCGTCTAAACAATGTAATGACATGAAAAAATACTAAATTCACAAAGCGTTTTGTTCTGGTTCTCTTGAGGATATAACTGCGGTCACTGTCGCAAATGCTATTAGGTCAACATCGTCGCTCACCCCCCAAAAGTCTTTAGCTAACTTTAATTGGCATAGGCTACTGAATGAAGGTTCCCACGGTCTTTAACCTTGTATCAGGAAGTTAATTAATAATCACACAAATCAAACGTTGTATTTTGTGAGATCTATTAAAGTTTAATAACACATCCCGTTGGCACTTTGAGGTGATGAATCTCCGGTACCGGGGATCTCTAGCGAACGCGCTGTGACTGTCAGTCCGGTGTTCCGGTGCGCGCGTGGCGGGAGGGGAAGGGCGGGCGTCGCGCGCCTCGGCGGGTTTCTCGCACGCGTTTCTCTTCATCATGGCGCGATGCGCTCCTGACACCCGTTCCGTTCCGTTCCCGTGATGCGCGGGATGATGATGATGGTGACGGATGAAAGATGGAGAAACTATCCGCGAGCATTAACGGACTCTCGTGGAGCTCCGTGTCGCTGCCGCTGGATGTGATAGTGAGCAAATTCCGCTTACCGACACTCGTGCGGCTGAGCCACGGTAAGAGACTGCTATAAACTGAGGCGCGACGAATCTGAGCTCATTAGGATCGGTTTGTTTGTTGCGCAAAAGATTCTTCAGCTTCTTGCCGAGTCAAAGTTAGCGGGATAAGAAACATCACATTTCTTGGCTTATTAATGAACTTTAGAGTCTGATTATGCAAATGAAGTCTGGAAACACTTGAAATAGTTTGACAAACGCTGATTTAATCACAATTTGGATCGTATAAAATGATGCACACTTTCATGAAACGTTGTGTCAATGTTTGTAACACAGAATCCTCAGTGAAGTGTGTAGTTGATTTGTCTTTTGGCTAAAGGTGACAGGGTGTGTGTTGTGTGTTAAAGAGCTGCAGCTCTTTTCATATGTTAATGTTGTAATGTGCTGTAGTGTGTGTTGAATACTAAACAACCTCCTGCAGGAGAAACTCCCAACATTTACTCAACAATCACAACTGAAGAAGACAGAATTAAACTGCCATCAATGTTGACACATTCCTGTATGTGTGAAAGTTTAACTTTCTGTGGTGGGAAAAAGCTTCTGAATGGGACTCGGGTATTTTTTGTGTGTGACTCCATATTCTGTGCTAAGAGTATTTAAAGAAATAGTTTGCACCCATAAATGCATACTCTGTTATCATTCATTTAAACTCTTTAAAAATGGTCTCAGAATCTCATAAAGATGACTGGGAAAACAAAGTTCCAATAGATTTGGTTATTTTGTATAAATATGATAAAAATGGTTATTTTTTAACATTCTGTAACTTATTTTTAATGAAGAATCTAAAAGAAGACTGAACTTCAGACACAGTGACAAGACTTATGCATTTGTGTTAAATTAAACATGAATCTACCCTGGATGTAATGGATTATTGCTTATTTAATGTCCATGTACTGTATAAATATTTATAATGCCTGATCACCCAAAGAACAATGTCAATAATTATAACTAACTATATTATTAGTGTCCATATCAACAAACAATAACATTCACTTTATTCTATCGTAATGTCGTCTGCTACTTTAAATTCTCCATCTCTTTAAAGTCAGATGGATTCTTATTGGATGACAATGTTTTTATTTGTTCATCATTTGGGCAAAAAATGCTCTACAATTGATTCAAATGATATTGTTCCTTCTTAAGGTGCTGTAATTTGCTCTGCAAAAGTTTGCCATCGAAATCCAGTCATTTCAATAGGAATCCTTGCGATCAGGAGTTTTGCGGAGCACAAAAAGTTCCCTATTCATATTTTGCTCATGTTCAAATTGATCACTCAAATATCACTTGGGTTGAAAGGGACATTTGTGAGAGCTTTGCTTTATAAATCACACACTATTGACAATTAACAAGGCACCTTTTTTTTTGCCCGCAAAAACTTGAGTTGAAAATTATCGGCATATCGGATATCGGCAAAAATCCAATATCATGCATCCCTACTTTATATACCATATAATAGTGTATTTATTGAAAAATGCTCTACAATTGATTCAAATGATATTGTTCCTTCTTAAGGTGCTGTAATTTGCTCTGCAAAAGTTTGCCATCGAAATCCAGTCATTTCAATAGGAATCCTTGCGATCAGGAGTTTTGCGGAGCACAAAAAGTTCCCTATTCATATTTTGCTCATGTTCAAATTGATCACTCAAATATCACTTGGGTTGAAAGGGACATTTGTGAGAGCTTTGCTTTATAAATCACACACTATTGACAATTAACAAGGCACCTTTTTTTTTGCCCGCAAAAACTTGAGTTGAAAATTATCGGCATATCGGATATCGGCAAAAATCCAATATCATGCATCCCTAGCATCCCTACCATATAATAGTGTATTTATTGCACTTTAAAGGGCCATTCACACCAGATAAGTTAACTGTAAGCTTAAAGTTTTAATAATCATTCTAATTCTACAGGTGCAGAACATTTCAGCAAGTTTTTGCGGGCAAAAAAAACACTGATGTGTGTGTGAGTGAGAGAGACTGACTGTCTCTTTGGCTGTGTGTGTGTTTTAAAGTGACAAATTATGTCAGTTTCAAGGTTAGCTGCATTTGTAGTTTTGGGTTTTCCAGTGGCTGATATCTAGAGAACAAGTTGTGTCTGTGTAAAAAATAATATTAAAGTCTATTCAAATGTACTTGTATAACACTTTTCACATTACACTGTTTCATTGTATAACAGAAAATCATGATGTTAATGTTTTAATGTTTTGTTGCACCCTTTTTTTTGCCCGCAAAAACTTGCTGAAATGTTCTGCACCTGTAGAATTAGAATGATTATTAAAACTTTAAGCTTACAGTTAACTTATCTGGTGTGAATGGCCCTTTAAAGTGCAATAAATACACTATTATATGGTAGGG